CGAGTTCCGTATTGACCTGATTCCTGGAGCTACTCCCGTAGCAAAATCTCCGTATCGCTTAGCTCCGGCAGAAATGCAGGAGTTATCCAGTCAACTCAATGAGTTGCTCAGTAAAGGATTCATTAGACCGAGTTCCTCACCCTGGGGAGCTCCGATTCTGTTTGTCAAAAAGAAAGATGGATCCTTTCGGATGTGTATCGACTATCGTGAACTGAACAAGTTAACCGTCAAGAACCGATATCCTCTTCCAAGAATAGACGACCTCTTCGATCAACTCCAGGGAGCCAGCTACTTTTCTAAGATAGACCTTCGGTCAGGGTACCACCAGTTACGAGTCCAGGAGAATGATGTTCCCAAGACAGCTTTTAGGACTCGGTATGGACACTACGAATTCGTAGTGATGCCCTTCGGTCTAACCAATGCACCGGCTGTGTTCATGGACCTGATGAACCGGGTGTGCCGTCCCTTCTTAGACAAATTCGTCATCGTGTTCATTGACGACATTCTCGTTTACTCCCGAAGCGAGGAAGACCACAAGCAACACTTGAGGCTAGTGTTGGAAACCCTTAGATCCGAAAAGCTATACGCGAAATTTTCCAAATGTGAATTCTGGATACGGAAGGTAACTTTCCTCGGTCACGTGGTAAGCGAGGAGGGTATTCATGTAGATCCTTCCAAGATTAAAGCGATAGAGAGTTGGTCGGCACCGAAAACACCCACAGAAATTCGTCAATTCTTGGGTCTCGCCGGCTACTATCGACGATTCATTCAGAACTTTTCCAAAATCGCCAAACCTTTAACCACTCTAACACAGAAAGGTGTACCCTTTTGTTGGAGTGATAAACAAGAAACCGCATTCCAAACATTAAAGAAAGCCTTATGCAGCGCGCCTGTTCTGTCTTCCCGAAGGGACAGAGATTTCGTTGTCTTCTGCGATGCGTCTAATCAAGGTTTAGGCTGTGTGCTTATGCAAAGAGGAAAGGTGATTGCCTATGCCTCTAGACAGCTGAAAGCACACGAGGTCAACTATACCACACATGACTTGGAACTAGGAGCAGTAATCTTCGCATTGAAGATTTGGAGACATTATCTCTACGGAACCAATGCACGATCTTCACTGATCACAAGAGTTTGCAACACATCTTTAATCAAAAAGACTTAAACATGAGGCAACGGCGATGGGTAGAATTACTCAGTGATTATGAGTGTGAAATCCGTTACCACCCCGGCAAGGCCAATGTGGTAGCAGATGCCCTTAGCCGAAAGGATAGTGCAGGCCACAAAGTGAGGAACCAGACGATGACCATCCATTCCAACTTACCCATGCAAATCCGAGAAGCTCAGGATACAGCCCTCAAACCCGAGAACGTGTCAGATGAAACCTTGAGAGGGATGGAAAAGAAACTTGAGATCAGAGGTGACGGAGTTCACTGTTTCATGAATCGAATCTGGATTCCCAAATCCGGTGGATTCAGGGAAATAGTCATGGAGGAAGCACACAGAACCAAATACTCTGTTCACCGGGTTCGGACAAGATGTACCTGGATCTCAAGAAACAATACTGGTGGCCGAACATGAAAGCTGAGATAGCTACATTTGTGGGCAAGTGTCTGACTTGCGCCAAAGTCAAAGTCGAACATCAGAAGCCTTCAGGTCTACTCCAACAACCCGAGATTCCCGAGTGGAAATGGGAGATGATTACCATGGACTTCATCACCAAACTACCCAAGTGTTCTAGTGGGTACGATACCATTTGGGTAATTGTCGATCGTTTGACAAAATCCGCTCACTTCATCCCGATCAAAGAATCATACAAGATGGAGAGACTCGCGCGAATCTACATCCAGGAGGTAGTACGTCTACACGGTGTACCTGTATCCATTATCTCTGATCGAGATAGTAGGTTTACCTCCAGATTCTGGCAATCCCTTCAGAAAGCCCTTGGAACCAAACTAGATATGAGCACGGCGTATCATCCTCAGACCGATGGACAGAGTGAGAGAACAATCCAAACCCTGGAGGACATGCTTCGGGCATGTGTCATTGACTTTGGAAAGTCGTGGGATACACATCTATCCTTGATCGAGTTCTCGTACAACAACAGTTACCACACCAGCATTAGGGCTGCTCCGTTCGAAGCCCTATACGGTCGTAAGTGCAGATCCCCTCTGTGCTGGGCCGAGGTGGGGGATACACAGTTAGCCAGGAGTCGAGTCCCCGACAGTGCTCTCACTGGTCCTGAAATCATCCGCGAAACCACCGAAAAGATCATTCAAATCCGTAACCGACTGAAAGCCTCACGTGATCGTCAAAAGAGTTACGCTGATAATCGTCGGAAACCACTAGAATTCCAGGTTGGAGACCGTGTCCTGTTAAAAGTCTCGCCCTGGAAAGGCACTGTACGCTTTGGTAAGCGTGGGAAACTTAATCCGAGGTACATTGGACCCTTTGAGATCCTCTCCAGGATCGGTCCAGTTGCCTATAAACTTCATTTACCTCACGAACTCAGTAACATTCATCCTGTCTTCCATGTTTCAAATCTCAAAAAGTGCCTATCCGATGAAACCCTAACAATTCCCTTAGACGAGATCGAGATCAATGAAAACCTCAACTTTGTGAGGAACCGATCGAAATCATGGATCGAGAAGTCAAACGTACAAAACAAAGTCGCATCCCGTTAGTGAAGGTTCGCTGGAATGCCAAGCGGGGACCGGAATTCACTTGGGAACGGGAAGATTCAATGAAACAGAAGTATCCACAACTCTTTTCTTATCCATGATTTGTATCTCGTCTTATGTTCTAAACTTGAATTTCGGGACGAAATTCCCTTTAACGGGGGGATAATGTAACAACCCGAAATTTCCGTATCATTTTACTGTAACTTTTTCGTAGTACAATTCGCGCAACCAATCGTCGTTTCCATTTCGATTTCCGATCTTCCGTTTAATTAAGTCATTATTTAGTACACATTTAAAATGACTTAATGGGTGTCTTAATACATTTAGAAATCATTTTAGCACCCAACTTTAGTGATCGGAATATTTCTAGAAATTACCGTATCGGGTTACGGTAACTCAATCGGGTACGACCAAAAGCCTCGTCTAACACCGGTATCGGGTAGAATTCCACCGTGTCCAAAACTTAAACACTATATAAACGTGTTTAAGACTTCATTTGAAGCCTTTGGCCAATCTCTCACTAAACTCTTACAACCTCTCTCCTCAAGCTAGAATTAAGATCCAAATCTCAAGTTTAAGGCTTCAAATCTTTAAGGTAACCTCCCTAACATGTTATTCAACACCTTTAGCCTTCAAATTGATGAATTAATTGAGTTTTGGGACCAAGAACTTGAGTTTACGGCCAAGGAGCAAGCTTGGGCCGTAAACTCCATTAAATGGGGTTTTAAGCCCTTAAACTCCTTCCTAAACTCAATTGGACTTTAGATATGGCTATGGGACTTCAAGATATGGACTTAGAACATTTGAAACTTTGATTTTGAGCCATTTGAAGGAGTTTACGGCCAAGGCATAAGCTTAGGCCGTAAACTCATGTAAAAGGGTTTTTCATGCCCTAAAACCCTTCCAAATCACTTCTATGGCTTAGATATGAATTATAGGACTTGGTTTAAGCATTTGGACACTTGAAACATGAATTTTGGGGACTTATGTGAGTTTACGGCCAAGGTATGTGCTTGGGCCGTAAACTCCCCAAAATTTGACATAAATCCAATTCTAAGGTGTTAGAAAGCCATCCAACACCACCAAAAGCCTTGGAATAAATCAAGGGACCAACCAAAAATACTTTAAGGGCCTAAAACACATCATTTGTGGGATTTATAAGAGTTTACGGCCAAGGCTTGTTCTTGGGCCGTAAACTCC